AAGCCCCAGTAGATAGTTGTATGTCATAGTTGCACATCCTTCTAGTTGCTCTATGTGGGACGTGGCCTCAGCATGGCCGGAGAAGTGGTGCGTCGGTGCGCGCCCGGGATCCGAACCCGAGCCGCCAGTAGCTCACGCACTTAACCGCTAAGCCACGGGGCCAGCCCTCCTGTTGATTTTTCTTAATTGATATGAAACAGGAGACAAAGGCATCTGTTGAAAATGAGTCCTGCCCTGTAAGCCATGGGATATGGGGCCAGTAAATGGATTGACGAGCCTTTGAGGGCCTAAAGGATGTCAGAAGATACTCAGGCAGTCCACGTGGTTGTGTGGTTTTCTCTAGCCATGGTGGAGAAAAGGACACACATGCTTGGCTTCCCGTGACATGCAGGTTAGCAGACGTGAAGTGGCGTCAGAGCACATTAGTTACAGAGTCTCGGCTGACGTGCACTGTGCACCGATTGCCTCACTGATGTAGGGATACCTGGTAGTGTTGTGATTTGTTTTTCTTTTGGGTCACAGACAATAGAAACTCACTCAAACCAGACAAACTGAGGGAGTTTCTTATGAGAGTCACACGGATTGGTAAGTGGAATTGCACAGTAATTAAGAACAAGAACCGTGCTGGGGCTGGCGCTGGGTTTGTGGCTGGTCTGGGGCCCCGGCCCACGGCGGGCTTTCACAGGGTGCTCTCCCTTTAGCCTAACTTGGCTACAACTCTGCAGGTGTGTTTCTTCCTGTCCCACTACCACCTGGGGGATTCTTCCTTTGCTGCCAGTTCATTTTCCTGCAGAAGAAAGAATTTGATTGACATAGTTCATCTTTTTCTGCATAGATTTCTGGGCAGTTATGCATTGGCTTTCTTTGGGTTAGATGTCCACCCTTGACCTAAGCACCTGTCATCAGTTGGCAGGGATTGGGGGGACATGTAGTGCTGTGGGCAGTGAAGCCCCTTGAAGGGGCTCTGGGTGGGCAGGCAGAGACCTTCATCTCTGGTTGTCCCCTCCACCCTTTCTCGGCCCTTGCATACTGCTTTCTCTCCACACACAGTTTTAATGATGCTTCTGCCAACGCATTCCAATTCTTCTCCACACAGTCACAAAGACACTGTCTCCTCCCGGAGGGATGCCACGTGGGCTCAAGCTCGCTTTCCCATGGACAAATGCTGGAGCTGCTAGAAGGCTGTGTGTGGGGCTCAGAGTCTGCAGTCTTCCTGTGATGTCCACTTATGCTCTGCCTTAGTCTGATAAGGGCTCTCAAGGGGTTCCATCATAATCACAGGACTTAAGAGATCCTTGCCCCTGTGTTATGTCCCCCTCACCCTCAGTGCACATGTGCCGTCTCCCCTTGATGGTCTGGGACAGTCAGTCAGTCCAGCACTGCTGAGTGGCTTCTTTGCCCATCCTCTCAGCAGCACAGTTACACGAAATGGCCAAGGGTGTTCTCAGCTTCCAATGAAATAGCATAATTCTTGGTCACCCAGTTAAGGTGCTCCAGGGTCCAGAATCGTGGGGATGGAGAGGAAACATTTTAGAGGGTGTCTGTAGGGGCAACAAAGTGGCACCATCTCCACCTCTACCACTTGGTTTTCAGACCTTACGTCTGAAGGTGGGGCTCTGGGGGAGCCAGTCCCATTCGTAGGTCACTGGCCAGTGTGTGGTCTCTGCCCTAGAGGCGGGCCTCACCCCATCTGCTGTAGTGTCACTTAGAATCCCCTGACAGGGTGATGTGGAAGAAGAGGTTACACTGAACTGGACTTATTTGTTTTCTTTTTATAAACATATGTAATATAGTTTTTTGCTGTAAAAAGTGTCACAAATAAGAGAATGTAATTTGTTTATCTTTCAGTGTGATTATATTAATGTTCCAACTACAGTGTTTACTCCTTTGGAATATGGCTGCTGTGGATTATCTGAAGAGAAAGCTATTGAAGTGTATAAAAAGGAGAATCTAGAAGTAAGATTGTGTTTTTATTGTTTACTTTTTAAGAATTTCTCTTTTAATGAACTATTTGTCTTCACAGTCACTTCACAGTCACATAAATTGCCGTTTGGAAGTTACTCTATGGTTATATTATAGGACATCATATTTCTATTTTAGGAAAATTAGAAATTAAATAATGTAAACCCTGCCTCTCTAGCAAACTAATAATAATAATACGGTTGAGGAAAGAGGGACATATACTGTGTGCATTAGGACTTTTGAATTACACATAACAAACGTCTACTTAAGTGAGCTTATACAAGGAAGCACAAGTCATTGTAAGATCTTTTGGAGATGCAGGAATGTATCAAGACCTTAGGAAGGGATAAGAACCAGGAATTGGAAGACCATCTCAATTCTTTCTTTTACTTGCTTGGGGTCTATGTATATGTTTGTGTGTGTGCGTGCAGTTCATTTTTCTGTTTCTGCAGACAGACTTGATTTGCCCCTGGAATGCACATAGCAGCCAAAATAAGACCTTTCTTCTGCTACCAAGTTTATCCAGTAGTTCTGGTCTTTGGAGGAGCAGACTGACTCACTGTTCCTTAGTCTCAATTGCAAATTATGTGAGAGGACATTTGATGCTTCTCAGTTGCGTCAGCTATCCACCCACTTCCATTTGGCGTGGAAGTAGCCAGACTCATCTCGCATCAGCATGGCTCTGGGAGCGTCTACTATTGATGGGCTGGAGGTGGGGAGGGTGTTCAGTTCCCAGGGTTGTTGGCCTATTGTGGGCTGTGGGCTATCAGACTCCCCAAAAGATGTCCTCCACACATGTTTATTTCCACCTCCCCTTCACCCCTCCCCCACAACCATATGCTTATAAATATTTTCTTACATTGTATTTTGGTGAGTGGTTTCAGTGGCTTTGTTCTGCATACCCTCCCAACATAGGAAGGATAGGGAGAAATAGAGTTGGAAGATTATTACTACTTGATGTTTTAAGCAAAAGAGAATTGAAATCTCAGTCCTCTCCCTTGAAGACATTTTAATTTATTACTGGGAATTCCTTTAAGCCCTAGCGCTGATGTTTCTAGTTAAATGGCCTAATGACTTACTGAAACTCTTATTTACATTTCTTGTGTTGGGAAAATGTATGAGTAAAGCTTTATAATGTTATTTTAGATGGCTGTTTTCAATGAGAAATTTGTTTTAGAGGACATTATTTGATCAGAGTTTACAATTAACTCCTTGTAATAACGAGCCACCGTTTTTGCAGTGTAAACTTTTACTTGGGTCTTGGAAAATTGACGGTAACAATTATGGATTTAACACTTTGTTCTAAAACTTTCTGAAATTAATGAGAAATTAAGTTAGAAAGGCAGGCTCATGAGAAGAAGAAAGTAGGTCATACCCCAGATAAAAGGAATGTCTTTGTAAGAAAAAAGTTCCCCAAATTTCTGGGATTACTTTAATGTCTTTTTCCTAAGGTTCACTGCAGATCAACTCACCTATTTTATATATATATTTTTTTTGCATTTGAAAGGACTAAAAATTTGATCTATTAGTATTTTTTAATATAAAAGAGATTTGAGGAAGTCTCTCAAAAATACATATTTTTTTTAAAGTGAAGAAATCAAGGTGATAAGAAAATGAGGGTAGAAAAAATATGGTGGTGTTAGAAGAAATGTAATTTGTTGGGTCACAAAATTCATGCCATATAGTCCTATAGATCTGCTTTAGGATTAAGCTAAATATTTAATTGAATTCTAAGTTTCCTACTACCTGACTGGAAGGCGGAGAATTGAGAGCTATTTCTTCGAGTTCCTATAAAAGGGTGATTGAGATTTGGTGAATAATATCCTTAAAATAGCCCTTTAGTAAATTCAATAATGGGTTTTATAGAGCTTTTTCTAGGACTTTTTATATAGCTGTTACTAGATCCAGAAATGCAGTCCCATGGCATAACGCCAAAAGTAATTCCTGAAGGGGCCAAAATAGGGCTGTGCTAGTGTATTGCTCTTTGGTGGCCTGACTTAATACCAACTTTTATATTAAAAATGAGTATATAGAACCAAAGTTTTAACCTGTTCTAGTATGAATTCCTTTGAGAATCTAATGAAATCTTTGGTTTCCAGGAAAAAAACCCTATACATGCCAATATACCTGAGAATCACCCTTAATTCCTCCCTGTAGTCACCATCTATGGTCAGTTCACCAGGAAGTCCTATCAGTTTTACCTTCAGCATGTGTCTTGTATGTATCTACTTATTTCTGTTTCCGCCTTCACCATCCTGTTCCAACCCACCATTATGTCTTATCTATACTTCTGCTATATCCTTCCTCCTGGTTTCCCTGCTTTCACTCTCAACCCACTCCAATCCAGTCATCACACATTAGGCAGAGAGATCTTTTAAAAATACAAATCATGTATGCCATTTCCCCACTTAAAACTCTTTAATGATTTTCCCATGCTCAAAAAATACAATCTAAACTCCTTTCTATTTGCCATAAGATGCGTTAAGTAATCAAGCTGTTCATGGTACTACTCTCTGACTTACTCATAATGGTCCAGTCACACTGGCCTACTGTTTGTTCCATAAACTCACCATGTTCTTTCCTGTAGCATAATCTCTGGGCTTCTAGTTTCCTTTGCTTATCACTATAGATGTGTGAAAAAGCAAGGCTGATCAACACACCTGCCAACACTTGGGAAAATGTTCCTCAAAGGAGACGGATAAAAAGCAATAGTATGTTCTTCCTCTGCTGTAGTAGTTCCATACCTGATACTGCCACTTAGGAGAAGAGACAGAGAGGAGAGAAAAAGAAATGTCAGGATTTCTCCTGAGAAAAAAGGCCAGGCTTTCTTCCTGGCGAATACCTGTTACATGGAAGGAGCAACCAGAGATCACCGTGCACTGATTGTTAAGGTCAAATTGAGAGTCAAAAACACTGTTATCACTGAACAAACAAATACATTGGAATCAAAAGAAGCACATGACTGAAAATAAAGTTAGTTATATAGGAAAGGTTGAGATAATTACATTTTAATGTGGAAGAAAAAAGACAAAGAAAAAAGATGATAGGTATGGGTAGGCAAAGATGATCCAACATAAATATAATTCATACCCTTCAGTAGAAAGCCTAACAGATGGTACAGAAGTAGTGTTCAGAAATATGATAAAGAAAACATTCCTAATATTAAAGAAGAACTGAATCTGAAGATTGAAATAACTTACCTTATTGTAGGAGAAGTTGATGAGTGATTGGCAGAGACATGTCCAAGTTAAGCTAGTCATCTACAGCGAGCAAAGAGTCAGCCTGGCCTCAGGGTTTTTCATAGCACATTCAGTGCCAGAAACTTAGAGCGATGTCTATACTTTTGAGGGGAAGGGATCTGCATTTAAAATAAACTCTCAAGGATGGGGAAGATAGGAGAGGACACAAACAACAATGAAATTTCGGGGAAAAAAGCAGATAGATGAATGTTAAGTAACCCAGCAGATCAAAAAAAAAAAAAAAACTTCTAAGCAGGTATGGGAGAAAGTCAAGATACCAACCTGGCTTTACACCAAAGTCATCAAGGCTCAAAAATCAGTGACACCATGTACCTCTGCAGGAGGGCGTGGGGGCAGTTAAGATAGATTCTTTGAAACCATCTAAGAAGCAGCGAGTCTCACCTCTCACCACTCTGCAGAGCACTTTCCACACACTGGCAAATGTCTGGAAGGTTGTTTTGTAGAGAGGGTTAAAACCAAGCATCTCTTGACCAGGGGGCACTGGGTTCGTGTGAGGACACGGGTGCTCTGCCAGTACGGTATTTGAGTGAGCAAGTACACACTGAATTCTGAGACCTCTTCTCCCACTCAGCTCCCAGAACTCTGGCAACCAGCCCTTCACTCTTCTCTGGCCTGAGGTTGGTAGAGTCTTATTTCTCAGGGGACTCGGGCGAGCCCATAGGGAAAGACCTAAAGCTACTGAATAAGGGTCCCCAAATAAACTTCCCAGTTAGGCAATCTGACAGTGGAGCTCAAATTCAGTAAGCCCCAAATACAAGCTCAGAGCTTTCAAACTTTAAAAACTTTTTTTTTAAATTGAGGCATAATTTACTTACAGTAAAATGATTTTTTTAGATATACAGTTCTATGAGTACAAACACAGTTGTGAAACCATTATAATCAAGATGTAGAACAGTTTCATCTCCCCCAAAATCAGACATTTTTAATCTCCAGCACTTAATATGAGCAGACAAAGATGATGAGACCTGAAAGAAACAGATGATGCCAGTATCCCCAGAGATAATGTATTATAATCATGAGAAGAAAATAGGACATACTGTCAAAAGTAACATTCAGAGGACCAAAAGACAACTATCAGAAATACTAAATATTATAGCAGAAATTAAAAACCCAATGGATGAGTATTTAGCCCAGAGAAATGAAAACTTGTGTTGATCTGTATGTACACAAATGTTTATAGAAGCTTTATTCATAATAGCCCCAAACTGGAAACAACTGAAATGTGAATGTGACAACCAAAGGCGAATGAGTAAACTAACGGTGGCACATCCGTACCCTGGAATACTACTCAGCAATGAAGACGGATGAACAGGAGTGACGTTACAGAAAATGGAAGAGAAGAAACCTCTAGGAATCCACCCCACCACCAAGACAACAATTGAACTGGCAATAAGTGTTTGAAGCAATTCTTTTGGAATCCTGGAGTTTAGTCAAATACTTACAGCATCCAGGGGGAGCTTGATGAAGAGGCTGGGAATTTCAGTGTATCCAGTAGCAGATGACATTGTTGTAACCTCCACAAGCTGAAGTGGCTTCCCTGCTGCAATGGGATTTCAAGAGACAGTCCTCCTCCACCCTCCCCATTTTGGGAGTCAGACATTTAAGGAAATCTCATCAGGTCAGAAACCACAGCAACTTCACACAACAATGAATATACACCGTACAAAGACAGTTTGGAAAAGTCACACCCAGATGAATCCAGCTCTCAACAAGCAAAAATCAGCAATCTCTGAG